GATTGATATTTAACGTAAAGAATACAATATCTCAAAGAGATTCGTATCATATCATATTTATCGACGTGAGCATCCTTTGAAACATGGATCATCATTGAGCCGATACTAACCTCTTAGTTTTCTTTTGCTTTTGGTTGTCTCATCACCACAATTCAATTCAATTTTCTTAGACTCGTTACTTAGGTTCTAAATTGATGTTTTTCTTTTTCTAAATTACATCATATTCGAGCAATTAGGTTTGTCAGTCAGACCGAATTAATTTGCTTCATCAAACTTTTTTACACTGATTCGATCTAATTAAACTCGAACTGAATGCAATCAAATCTCTTTAATTATATTTATCTTTTAGTTGATACAAATTAGGAGATGGCTGAAATGACAATCTCACCCATCTCATCGGTTAGCAGTTTTGGCCCAATTTGAGGCCCAATATAATATAATGAGCCCAGCCCATTACTATGTCTATAAGCCCATTAAATCTCGTAATAAATAAATAAATAAATAAATAAATATTTAATTAAAGTCGATTGCGTCCAACCCTAAATCTAATTCCCTCTCTCTCTCTCTCTCTCTCTCTCTCTCTCAGTCCCGCGTTGCCGGCTCGCTACGCTCCCCCTCTTTTCTGTTTTCGAATCCCTAAATTTGTACCGCCACTGCGCCCCTCTCCATTTCCGCCACCGCAGCGTCTTCACCGGCCCATCATTCTTTCAGGTTTGCGCTGTATCTCCCTCATCTCTGTTCCCTCTTTATCCCTCCCCGAGAAATATCTCGGTCGAACGTTTCTCCAGGTCAGGTTTCTTGAATCGGGGTACTGTCAGCCGCGCTTCACTCTTGAGCTTATGTTATTGTATCTTATCGACTATAGGATTGTATTTAGAAGTTGTTCTTCCTGATACTATTATTTTTGCCCCTTGATAATTGTTTGCAGAACTATTCTTGAACGGAAAGAAACTTGTTTTTGCTAGTCTTTTTTTTCTCCATTCCAGTCCCAACATGGTTTGGGCACCATAATCTTCGTATATTAATTTTGCCTCTTTTGGGATGCAGTTCTTGGTTTTCTTGGTTGTTGGTTGAGGAATACCATCAGATATCTAACGCAAGGCAGGTGTAGTAGGTCAGAATTCTCTAGTCGGTAGATGGAGGAAACTGTACTTCCAGGAAAGAGGAAGCTACCAGAGCAAGATTCCAATAACAATTCTGTGTTGGCCGATGAAACTACGAAGGCTGAACCCATTCCAAAGCGGAGGAACCTGTCACGTACATGTGTTCATGAGGTTGCTGTCCCAAATGGCTATTCTTCTTCCAAGGATGAAGCCACCTTTGGAAGTCTTTCAAACCCTGTGTACGGTGGTCAGATGGCCAAGACCTATCCATTTGAATTAGATCCTTTCCAAAGAGTTTCAGTTGCTTGCTTGGAGAGGAATGAGTCTGTGTTAGTCTCAGCACACACTTCTGCAGGTAAGACCGCAGTGGCTGAGTATGCCATTGCGATGTCCTTCAGAGATAAGCAAAGGGTCATCTACACCTCACCACTAAAGGCTCTGAGCAACCAGAAGTACAGAGAGCTGAGTCAGGAGTTTTCTGATGTTGGGTTGATGACCGGTGATGTCACAATTGCACCAAATGCAAGTTGCTTGGTCATGACGACAGAAATTCTGAGAGGGATGCTGTACAGAGGCTCTGAAGTGATAAAGGAGGTAGCTTGGGTTATCTTTGATGAAATTCACTACATGAAAGATAGGGAGAGAGGGGTTGTGTGGGAAGAGAGTATAATATTTTTGCCCCCAGCCATTAAGATGGTTTTTCTTTCAGCAACCATGTCTAATGCCACAGAGTTTGCTGAGTGGATATGCAACTTGCACAAGCAGCCGTGTCATGTTGTGTACACTGACTTCCGACCGACTCCACTGCAACATTATGTGTTTCCTATAGGTGGCTCAGGTTTGTATCTTGTTGTAGATGAGAATGAGCAGTTTAAAGAGGATAATTTTATGAAGCTTCAGGAGACTTTCACAAAGCAAAAGGCTCAGGCAGATGGAAACAAGAGCGGTGGAAAAGTGAGTGGTAGGATTGCAAAGGGAGGGACTGGTTCTGCAGGTTCTGACATCTACAAGATTGTGAAGGTACCTTTCCTAAAATTTGGAGGAACAGTTAATGACTTAGGTATTAAGGCTTGAATGTTTGATTAGTTTGGAAATGTCATGCGATGGCCACATGTACAATGCAAAATCAACCAGCTTGTGGTGTTGTACTCTTAATTTGGATATTGACTCTTGTAGCTAAATTTTTTTGTCAAACATTCACATGAATCAGGTGGTTCATTGCTAATCGGGCTGATGTAAGATCAGACTGTATGTTTGATACTTTTTTATCTTTTAACCGTTAGGTTGGATAGTATTCTGATTCTTTTGCATGGTAAGACATGCTGATTCAATTGTGAGATTGCTCACTAGCAGGACTCTGCCAACAGCTGTGGTCAGACTAACAGAAGATTAGAGCATCTTATGTATATTATGCTTGATGTTGCTTCTGCTGCACTACAGTTGGAGACTTGAAGTCCAGATTTTGAACTCTGACATTGAACTGTTTAACTAAATTTCATATCATCTCATTGCTGCTGGTAGAGCATGGAGCATTCACTCACTGATATAGCCAGCTAGATACTAGGATTTCTGTGCCTATCAAATGTGTATGGTACAGGTCAAAATATCCTGTACCAAGATGGTATTGGCAGTGTTCTCTAGACCAACATTTGGCATGTTCTGATTGACACAGGGCATGCTGATTTGCACAGAATGGAAGTGGACCATGCCATAAAGGTATGGGGATGCTCTCACCATCAAATGGCAATTCTTGGTGAGGTGACGTTTTTAGGGCAATATAAAAAAGAACATCAAATTTCTGACTTTTGGCCATGCTATTAGTTATATGTTGTTTTATATCAAAGATTCTAAATCAGCTTATCCAGATTGAAGTCCTTTTGCTGCTGTTTTGCTCATTAAGTGTTACAAAATATGTTTAATTGTTTTGATAAGCAATAGCTTAATCATTCTTTCCTCTGCTGTTATAACTCGTCACTTATCATAAGCTTGCTATAGTAGAACTGGTTGACTAATTCTTTGAGAAATCCTTATCATGCACAAACTAGCATTGAAGAAATTCACAGAGTACGTTGCCCAAGCTAGCAGATTTGGCTTGCAAGAAGCTAAGGCATATTAGATGTTGAAACTATTTTCTTTCCACATTTTATACATGTTTACTGCAAGGATTGTCATGTTGTGTCATGGGATCATGCCAATACTTCTACTCACAATTTCATATTGGGGGGTCCTTAAATTGGGCTATCTGTATGTTGCACCTTCGGCATGGGTCAACATGGCATATGTTGACACCATTATGGTATGATCAGTTTCAGGTTCTAGAAAACATGTGAATTGGCATATCAATCTTTAGCTTAGTCCACTTATTTTGAGGTCGTTAACTGATTGACACAGCTGTTGTTCTCCCATAGTGTAGCCTACTATTCTGCTGACTATACTATTTAGTGAATACACAATATCACATATAGATTTGCAACATGCAGTGTAGTGCTTATACCCCTATTTTCTTCCACATATCTTTTATGGTTTCACTCATTGTTCTGCTTATGTCACAACCTTTTTCTGCCCCACCCGATGGATGCTTTTGACACGTGTCAGTCTGCCATAATATCCAGCAAATGTTGGGAGCTGTGTCATACTTAGAGCAAACTTAATTTGAAAGGCCATAAAGCATCTCCCTGATTCTTTCTGAAAATGCATTCCTACAACCGAAAAGTTAACCATGATTCTTTTCATACTTCTTGGCATCCAAAGATCACATGCTGAGGTATTTAATGGTTTATCAGTGCATTCACAATTATTAGTATTAACATGTTGTTTCGTCTGCAGATGATTATGGAGAGAAAGTTTCAACCAGTGATTATTTTCAGCTTTAGTAGAAGGGAGTGCGAGCAGCATGCTATGTCCATGTCAAAGCTAGATTTCAACAGCCAAGAGGAAAAAGATGCTGTTGAACAGGTTTTCCGCAATGCAGTCCTCTGTTTGAATGAAGAAGATAGAACATTGCCTGCTATAGAACTGATGTTGCCACTTCTTAAACGAGGTATAGCAGTGCATCATTCTGGCCTTCTTCCGATAATCAAGGAATTGGTGGAGCTTCTCTTTCAGGAAGGACTTGTGAAAGCCCTTTTTGCTACTGAAACAGTATGTTTTATGTCAACATTTCATATTTCTTTTAATTTTGTTAATTTTTTCTTTTTAAATGGACACTTTTAAGAAGTAGAGGTTCAGATTTTAATCTGTAAAGATAGGTCCCACATATATATTACTATTTTTAAAAAATCCCATTTGGTGTAGAGTTCTGCTTCACCTTGCTTAGAGATGTAGTTTCATATAAAAGCTGTCTTTTATTTTTTATTATGTTGAAGTTAGTTTTTGGTTTATCTTATGTGCTTATTTTTACTTCGCAGTTTGCCATGGGATTGAATATGCCAGCAAAAACAGTTGTCTTTACATCTGTTAAGAAATGGGATGGTGATAGTAATCGGTACATTGGATCTGGCGAGTATATACAGGTAACATAACTTTCACATTCATGTTTTATATGGAACCAAATTAAAAAGGAATAAGAAGCATAAATGCCTGGAAAAAGAAGTTAAAATATTCTCAACATCATGAAGGGTGTCATTGTAATTCATTATCTTATTGCTAGAATTTCTATTGTGGAATTATTGATTATTTCTTTATGTTCTTTTTTTTGCTTCGAAAGATGAGTGGAAGAGCTGGACGTCGCGGCAAAGATGAACGTGGTATATGTGTGATAATGATTGATGAAAAGGTAAAGATGTTTTAAGCAACTTCATCAGATATTATCCTATAATAATTTAAATTATAGCTGGAGAAACTGAAAGATAAATAAAAGTGATTAAACATAATTTTTGTTAGACTAGTGGTCTCATAAAAACTCTGCTTAAAAGCACTTAGTGGAAGTCTGGATTCACAAGTACAATACCAGATGGACATCTGAATAGTTTTTGCATCAATCATGTCAGACGATAAAAATTCATCTGGTATTTTTATCCTGCAAAGAGTTAAATGCATTTACCAATTTATTAATCCCAGTCTACTGTTTTATAGAGCATGAATACTGAATAGCAATGCAACACATAACCATTGCTTTCATCTGCAAGAAATTGTGATCTTTGCATTATGAACAACTTATTGTAAATTTACTTAATAACATCTAACAGGATTACAGGTGGTAAGCAAATGGATGAGGTTGAATATGATGTTCAATGCCTTATGCCATTTTTATAAATGTTGGTCACTTGGTCAAATTTTTTTGACTTTTAACTGTTGAATGCTTTTCTGTTGTGGGTAGAGTATAAACAATCACTACTTCCAACAAGCGTCCTTAGGCATCCTGATGATTCATTTTAGTGCTTTTTTTTAAAAAAAAATTGGAGTTCTCTTAAGCATTTTGATGCACACTTTTGTTTTTCTTCAGATGGAAATGAACATACTCAAGGACATGGTTTTAGGTAAACCTGCTCCATTGGTCAGTACTTTCAGATTGAGCTATTATTCAATTCTGAATTTAATGAGCCGTGCGGAAGGTCAATTTACTGCTGAGCATGTCATTAAAAATTCATTCCACCAGTTTCAGTATGAGAAGGTTAACCCTTTATAATTTCATGCATATTGTATTTTATCTTGCACTATCATTTTGGTTGAGTAATTTGGTTACTTGATTCAGGCATTACCAGATATGGGACAAAAGATCTCAAAATTGGAACAGGAAGCTTGTTTGCTAGATTCTTCTGGAGAGGTAATTTAGCACAAGGGAAAGCATTGTCATTTTCTTCTCCATGTGAAGTTACTATTTATTATTATTATTTGCATCATTAGGCTGAACTTGCTGAGTATCACAAGCTGGGACTTGAGGTAGCTCAACTTGAAAAGAAAATTATGTCTGAGATCACCAGACCTGAAAAGGTTCTGATGTACTTGGTACCTGGTAGGCTGGTAAGTTGCAGTTTCTATCATGTTAACCAAACTCTAGCCATTTTTTTTTTATTCTACCAGATGTTTATTGCCTTCTTTTGGATTTTTAAAGAAGTATATCACTTTAAAGTAGTATTCTTAGGCAGTTAGTTGAAACTTCAATTTGTCTTTTCCTGCAGGTTAAAGTACGAGATGGTGGAACGGATTGGGGTTGGGGAGTGGTGGTAAATGTGGTGAAAAAACCTCCCACAGCGTCAAGCACTTTGCCTCCCGCTTTGGTGTCTGCACGTGGTAGTAGTGCTTATATTGTGGACACTTTGCTGCACTGCTCTCCTGGTTTAAGTGAAAATGGCTCGCGTCCAAAGCCATGTCCGCCACGTCCAGGGGAAAAGGGTGAGATGCACGTGGTGAGTTGAAGCTCGTGGGATAACAATTTTATTGGTTCCTGTTCATATTCTTAGCTTGGTAGCTCAAGTAGTTCATGAAGTTGAAGATACTTAAAATCCATGGTTTGGCTGATGATATTGCAAACTATCTGTAGGTTCCTGTACCATTGCCTCTGATCTCTGGTCTCAGTAGTATCAGAATTGCAATTCCTTCTGACCTCCGACCAGCAGAAGCAAGGCAAAATGTACTTCTTGCTGTTCAAGAGCTAGGAAATCGATATCCACAAGGACTACCAAAGCTGCATCCAGTGAAAGTATATTTTCAATTTTTTATTTTTCTCCTGTCATTATTCTTGTCCATGCTTAAGCATCTCCTATTTTAATTTCTTAAAGATTGGCTATAGGTATGATATTTTTGTTCAGCATGCAAGGCCAATTTGTAGGTAGTCTTTTGCCAAAATATATTAGAAAATTTCAATAAGTGTTGGCTATGTAAACATTGTCAAGTATAAATCATATTTATCTTTAAAGAGAGACATACTTATCATATGGAGACATCATACAATAATTCTTAATTAAAGAAAGATATGTTAGTAAAAATGATGTTCAGTCATAAATTTTGTCACACACAGCTCATGTATTTAAAGTTCATCTCATATTAAGTATTGCAAATTTTTATATTCCTTGAAAGTTTTTGTGATGGAGAAAAATAAAAGGGCTGTCAACACAGCATCTGCTAATTGTGTTAAACAGAGAGTAGATCTCTTTTTGAGGTTCAAAGTGGTGTGTGTACAATATTTTAATAGACAATCTTTTATATTGGATCAGTGCATTTGACAGGTGGAAAAAGAAGAGTAGTAGACACACCTAGAGGTCAATTTTGTTGGAAGGTGCTGCTGTACTTGTGTGCCAATTTTAGGGGCTAATTACATATTATCCCCTGTAATTAATTATCTTTAGCATCCCGGTCCCTATACTTATAAAAGTGAAATATTTAATCTCGTTTCTCCTCATGTCGTCGACTCTGTTGATGGAAATATCGTAAGGTTTACTACTGAGCACGTACTGACTCTGCCTCACTTGGATTTATCACTAAGAACGTGCGGTAGTTTCGTCAGTAGAGTCGTCGACATGAGTATAAACTATAAACAAGGTTAAATGTTTTATTTTCGTAAGTATATGGATCTCAATATAATTTTTGATAGTGTAGGGACTGATATGCTAAAGGTAACTAATTATAGGGGGTAATATGTAATTAGTCTAATTTTAGGCCAAGTGATATAATAAATATATGTAGAAGAATCATCTAAATCACACTCAATTTGTTATTTAAAAAAGAAAAAAAATTTGGAATACAACTTTAAAAGAAAGAAATTAGTAATATAACCTATGTGAAGGTTCATATTTATTAATTTATTAGGTTTTTGTGGCTGAGAATGGGACTAAAAAAACATGTGTATTTTAGTGCTGGGCAATGGAATTGCGAGGGAGCATCTTTGGAAGAAGGTTAAAAGGGAAAGAATTTTTTTCCCTTTATATCTGAGCCTAGATCCATGTATCAAAATTCTTCTGAAAACTCATCCTATGCGTCTGTCTCACACCTGACTTGTGGGGTTCACAGATAAAATTCATGAGAGAACCACATCATAAGAGAAAGATTCAAATGGAGGTTTGAGACACCGCATAAATGATAAAGTTTTCGGCAGACCTTTGGGATACATCATTTTCCTTTATATAGTGCTAGGAAATGACAGTTCTTGTCCTTCTGCACTGCCTTTTGTCTTTCTGATTTACTATTTAATAATGCTTATAAACAAGTATCCTTGATCTTTACATCGCTGATTCCTGTGAGTCCTTCTGTTTTGTTTCTTTGGCATTTTTGGCAGGATATGGGCATCAAGGATCCTGAATTTGTTAACTTGGTTAATCAAATTGAAGAAATTGAGCAGAAAATATTTGCTCATCCGCTGCATAAGGTATTATTTTACTTCCTTCTGTTTCAACATTTTGTCTCAGTTTTGTGGGATTTATCTGAATGTGAATTCATGTTCTGTTATTTGGTTACAGTCTGGTCAAAGTGAACAGCAGTTCAAGTGGTACCAAAGAAAAGCTGAGGTGAATCATGAAATCCAGCACATTAAGTCAAAAATGCGTGACTCGCAAGTAAGAAATTCTTGGGCTGATGTACACTTTGTAATGTAATCTTTTCTCAGGGTGATCTTATGTCCATGTTTGGGTGCATTTATATTGCTTGAGCACAATCATGGTTTTTCTCATGTCACATCCAATGAGATGATAAAATTTACTTGGTTAGTCTTAGCCTTATTTTTCTTTAGGCAAGTATTAAGTTGGCCAGGAGAGAAGAGACAGGTGGTAGAGTTTAGGGCTTTCACTGATGTGCTACATTTGTGGTATTTTGATAATAAAAAAAAAAATAGTTTTAATTTAAGATGCTGAGGGAGAAGCACAGGTATGTTTGGCAGAAAACATTTGAGCAAGGTAAATATGGATGTCAAGTAGAAGACTGTGATTGCAAAAATGATCTAGTAGGCCAGTCTTATGAATTATTTGGAAAAAGCAAAAGAAAAGTAAGTCGATATTGACCTAATGCCCAGGTTTGGAAGCCTTGCACTTTCTTGGAGTTATACATGAGAAACAAATATCTTGCTCAAAGATTTTCCAAAGAAGGGTAAATCAGGAATCCAAATACTCCTGTATGGAGCACATTAAATAATTTTACGTTCACAATCCTAATAAACTGAAAGCAGCCTACTATAACAGTCTCTTTAGAAGCAAACCATTACCTAAAATAGAACACAATACCCTACTAAACAAAGTCTCAAGAAATGAGAGGGAACCAGTCCTATTTGATTTCAGGATATAATTCCAGTAAGAAATCACTTTTACCTTGTGGCTTAGTCTGTAACTCTTTTAAATTAAACTTGAAAATGTAGTTAGTCATCAGAAGACTTGTTTGGCAGCTGATGAGGAATGCTAAATGTCCCACATTTTTCTTATGTGTTCTCTAATCAAGTGTCAAAAATCTCAACAGCAGCAAAATTTAGCCCTGTTCTAATTGCAGCTGGGTGTCTGTCCAAACTTCAACAAACCTTATTTTCCACAATTGTCGAAGTCTTGAATCTTGTGCTGTGATCTCGTTGAACACCTCATGCAATTATAGTGACTTTGCTCTCTTGTTGTAGCAGCAATTTTTTCTTCTGAACAAGGTCTTTGTAGGATCAAGTGACCTTTCTAATAATTAGTGTATGTTATAGTAATGAGATTATTGGCCAAAGTATATATCTAAGATTCTTTTTTTTTTAACATTGATATTAGTTGCAAAAATTTCGTGATGAGCTGAAAAATCGTTCTCGAGTTCTGAAGATGCTTGGTCATATTGATGCTGATGGTGTCCTCCAATTAAAAGGGCGTGCTGCCTGTTTGATAGACACTGGGGATGAACTTCTGGTCACTGAGTTGATGTTTAATGGTGCGCCTTCGGTTAGTAAGTTTGGTTACTCTTTCATTGAAACTGTCTTACCCTAAGGAGTGTTTGAATAGGTACATTTAATGATCTTGATCACCACCAAGTAGCTGCCCTCGCAAGTTGTTTCATTCCTTGTGATAAATCCAATGAACAAATACATTTAAGGAATGAACTGACAAAGCCTCTACAGCAACTTCAGGATAGTGCTCGAAGAATTGCACAGGTTTGTGAACCTTTTGCTTTCCCATCTATATAAATAGAAAACTAGATGTTTTGCATTAATGAAATGCATGATGCAATTGCAGATACAACGAGAATGCAAATTGGACATAAATGTGGAGGAGTATGTGGAATCAACTTCTCGGCCATATTTGATGGATGTAATATATTGTTGGTCAAAGGTTAGCGCTTGTCTTTTTTTAATGTCTGATTAAAAAAGGTACTGATTGATGACATTACTTTTCTCATTTCTTATTGATGTCAGTTTTCTTTTTCCATCTTTTGTCTGATCAAATATGTGTTTAGTGTACTATGGTCTCTTGTTCAATCTAGCTTTGGTTTGCATGAATAATGATATATATCAAATTGTCATCTTGAAGAAAGATTGTTCATAGGATAGGAAGCTTTTTGCAGAAAGGCACATGTTAACAGTATCTTGCTTTTCCTTGATAGATTGTTGCTTATTTGCTTGAGTATAACGAGTTCATAGCTTTCTGTTCATAGTTTGTTTTCCATGCAGGGTGCATCATTTGCTGAGGTAATTGAGATGACTGATATTTTTGAAGGGAGCATAATACGGCTTGCCAGACGATTGGATGAATTTTTGAATCAGGTAAAATTGGATGCATCTACCTTTTCTTTTGGTTTATGATGCTTCTTGTAATGTTTTTGTTATTTTTCTCCTTCCTTCTTCTTGAGATATGGGATTTTTCTTTGGTCTTCTTATGAGGCTAAGTGAGTTGTAAGATGTTCTTTTTTCTTTTTTTTTGGCCCTGTATTGAGACTAGAGGGAGTTCTAAACGAGGCCTGCAATATCAAACATTGCACTTAGCGACGGACCAAGTGGAACACTAATTATTAAATGAGGATAGACGTGGCCCACATCTTGCAATGGCATGATTTCTTTTGCAAGATGTCTCACAAGGATGTGGAGTATGGACGAAGTTTTGACCAAATCTTGGGTGGTTGTTTAATCAAATGCATGAGGACTATTGTGGCTTAGCTGTCATCTGAGCCTAAGATCTGCCAAGAAATTTAGAATCTTAGAATTAGCATATAGAATAGATTTATCTTACGCAAGCAATAGCTGGTTAAGGCCTCGTGATGTCAAAAGGAGTTGAATGGGCATGATAACTGGCATGTACGTCAGCATATGCCTGTACATGTTTGTCTAAGCTTTTCAATCTCAACATAGAGATGCTTTTAGACAGTTTCACAACATGATGCATACGAGGATATATAGTTTCACAACTTGTTCTTTGCAGCTTCATCTCGTTCTTTGAGTAGAACAATGAAAGCTGCTGCAGGTTCGAAGTGCGTCTGAATTCCTTATAATGTAGCGACCTGTATTGTCTTAAGTTGATTCCTCTGGTGCATTATTTTGGCCAGAGAATTGCTGCTACCCGATTATGCTTAGCTAATTTTCTGCACTTATGGTCGTTCCAGTTGCGTGCTGCTGCTCATGCTGTTGGAGAGGTTGATCTAGAAAAGAAGTTTGAAGCGGGAAGTGAGAGCCTACGACGAGGTATAATGTTCGCCAACTCCTTGTACTTGTGAGAATTGGAATCTGTATCATGTAAGGCGTGTCTACCATCAATTAAATAGTTGTAGTCTTTCCTACCGTATAGCCCGCCTGGCCTCTCCCCCCCTTGATTTGTTTTTGTACACCGTCCAAATGGAGATTTGACAAACATGAGTTTTTTTTTTTTGGGGGGGGGGGGGGAGTGGTGTTGGTTGGGTTTATAAACTAATTTCTGACACATACCTTTTGAATCTAATCTTTTCTATCCAAAGCCACACTTGTATGCGAATTGACTTCCTCTTCCCTTTTGTTATATTCAACTGAAAACATACTGTGGTATTTTATTTCTTTAGGGAGAACAAATTAATTAAAATATTTATTTAGGGAAAAGAAATCTTGACCGAACGTTACAAAAGATTTGGCATGTCAGACATTCCACCAAATTCAACCAAATCGAACGAAGCAGATTAAATATACCGTCATCCATTTTTTGCATAATGAGAATTGTTTAAGAATGTTAAATATCTCATGCCCCTCTCCCTACAAGTAGTTGCTAAAGGCTACATTCGAATGAAAATAAAGCAATTAGTCTCTGATGGGGGAGTTGGCGAGTGATTGACGAGAGAAGAGAGAGAGAGGTGCCATTTCATCTCGAATCCACGACCGCGGTCTCCTTCAGGGGCGAGAGGTACACGAGAGGGAGCGGGGATACAGGCGGAGCAGCTGCCTTCTCTTGCAGCAGAACAAGCACCTTCCTCACCTCATCTGCCAACTCGATCACCATGTCATCTTCGTGGCCTGCATGCATTACAATCTCCCTCACCATCAGCAACCACATCACCTAGCAAGAAGAGCAATGAAAACCGAAACATACCTATGTCGAACAATGCCTTCTCCAGTCGGAACAGGTAGTCTCTGTTGTTGCCACACGGACCACGTGCAGTAGCAATCTGCCTGCAGTCTCTAAGAAGACCAGGTTAATAATAATATGGAGAAGAAGAAGATCGAGATTGCATTAGCACATCCTCGGTCTCTCACCTAGCCATATCCTGGAGAGGAGCTGGACCTAGATAGTAGCTGTTGGCTTCCTTGTCAGGAGTAGATACGAAACTGCAGCGCAATCAGTAGGAAAAGATCAAAAGACTGGACGGACCTCAGAGTAGGTTTCAAAGAAGAAGAGGACGGTGAGTGAGCTGCTTACACGAGTACTCCTGTAACAGTTGGCTGATGAGGACCCCCCCCCTCCTGAATCATACATGAGACACAAATCCAGTTGAGGCAAACGACAGGGATGAAGAGATGGGAAAGAGCCAAGACAGACACAACCAAGAGACTTCACCTTGAAAAAGTCCACGGATGCTTTAGTGTCGTACTCGCATTCTCTTCTCTCCAAATACTGAAATGAAATGTGCAACAAGATGCTCACGCAGCTCAGTTACAGAGTATTGAACCTTCATTCAGAATGCAAGCACCAGAATCTAATCTAACCTTCATTGCTTCTCTTTCCTTTTCTGCGCCTCCTTTAACGCAATATGCAGCGCCCCACTGTTAAAATCCAAGATCTTGTTGGAAATGAGAAGACAGAGAAGTAAAGCAGGAAGGATTATGCCGATTATGCGAGGAGGAGTTTCATTTAGCATCAAAGATGCACAGGTAATCATCTGAAACTGTTCTTTTCTTTTCAGTTTCATTTATATCCTCTGTTTGTCGAAAGAAACAATGCTCGTCTAATAATTTCTGTGTTTATAATAACAAAAATCGTTTGAGAGAAGGTACATGATCGACTTACGCAGATTGCTCCTTTCTTAGCCTCCAATGTGCAAGTTCTAGCTGGATTTTCTGGTGTTCCTCTATGATCTATGCAAGCTGCAGCAAATGAATCAATTCTCTTAGTCTTCCACAGATTCTAATCTGGTTATTCTATTCAAAAGAAGAAGCGCTTACCAAGATCAAACACACGCCTATAGTCCTTGATGAAGCCTATAATTTTCTCATCAAAGTCAAATCCAGGGTTCCAGATCAATGACCCATATCCAAATACCCAGAGCACCATCTTCTCTTACCTACGAAGAGAAACGACAGCCATTAATACACTATCCATAAGAAAATTGAGGAGCATAGATCTGCATCAATTATACTGTGACCATAATACATACAGAAATATTAGAAATCTATCAAGTAGTTGCTCCATATTAATAATTTACAGTTAACAAGATGAAGAAGAAAAAAAGGGGAGACCAAGAAACTCAAATCGCAATTGATTACGAACAAGGAAGCAATGGATTCTAAGGGGAGACCAAGAAACTTATGGAAATATATTTCCAAATTAGCTACATAATTCACGTCGGGAAAAAAAATCAAGATACATTTGGGTTATAAACTGAGCAAGGCAGCCGATCAAGAAACTCATCTAAGAAATAAATGTTAAAGCTGAAACTAAAGCCAAGAGTGAAATTGGTCTTCTTCTAGTATGGAATTTGATTAAGAGTAGGAATATTGGATGGTCTCCGCCGTGGAAGACAAAACCTTGTCCGATGGCAGTAGACAGACAGGGGAGAAGATTGAATAGAAGATCTAGATTTAGTTCATCTGCCTCTTCTACACTCATCTCTCTCTCTCTCTCTCTCTCTCTCTCTCTCTCTCTCTCTTTACCACCGAAAAGAAAAGATAGAAATCGAAACTTTCCTGGAAAAGAAAATGGCGAACAGCTTCTTGGAACACCAAGAATCGATTCGGAAAGAGAAAATGATCCAAGATTGGTGCAGCTTCTCACCACAGACGGTATCCCGACGCGTGCTGAAACCCCACGGAGAGGAACAGGGGCGCCTCAGGAGGGCTCGTAGGATGAGGATTGGAGGCGAGGCGAGGTTTCGAGAGCCTACGGGTTCTGGCGGATTGAAACCCTAGATTTTGCTCTCCAAGTGGGTTCTTCGCTCTCTCCCTCTCTCT